AAAAAAAAAAAAAAAAAAAAAAAAAAAAAAAAAAAAAAAAAAAAAAACCATTTAAAAAAAACACAAAATTAAATACTCAATAACATCAAGACAGTTGTTGTATATGAGATGAGAGAAGAGCGTAAAGAGAGAACTGAAAACACACTACTGAACGGGAAAAGTGAAATGAGTTGAACTCATTGGTACTTACCTGGAATCTAGCGGTCATACGTTGCTTGAAACTTTGCGCTGCTTTCGGATCCGCTAAACGCATATCTTGATATTTCTCTTCCAAATCGGACCAGTCTTTCATGACACGTGTAACCTTTTCACGGTGGGATTCCTCGAGGCGCTGTTGGGCTTCCTTAGATTAGAATTTGTATGTTTTGTTTTGATAAGAAATGCCTGAGCATAGGAAAACACTTACTTTTTGACTTACTTTGTAGCTCTGATGCTCATAGTGCGGATCGAAATGGGTAAAATAAGGATCGGGCGTGGGTTGGCCAGTAGTAGGTGGTAACTGAGGTAAATCTACTACGGATTTATCATTATTCATCATATGCAAAGATGATGACTTCGAATCACTTTTCTTGGCCTTGTTGTTGCCATTGTTATTATTATTATTATTGTTATTATTATTATTATTAGTTAGAGATGGCTTTGCACCACTTGAGCTACCGTTCGTATCCCAATTATCCGTTGCTGAATCTTCATCATAATTATCTTCAGTCGAATCATATTCTGCATTAGCATCATCACCGTTTGCAGCCGCCTCATCAGCAGCCATCTCATCTTCCTCATCGTCGGCTAATAAGTCATCTTCATCGTCATCATCTACATCGTCATCGGCCGGATCTTTCGAATAATTGGATTCATTGTCATCATCAATGTCATCCAAATCATCGCTGGGATTAGAAATTTCGACAGGTGGTAAAACAGGTAAATCGGTTTTTTTGACACGAATTTCATCGGCTAGAAAAACAATCAAAGAGAAATGAATTTTTAGTTTAATCTGTATGAACAGGTTACCCAAAACCAAATGCAACTCAAAGCCTTTTCATTGATCAATATTTTTTTTGAACAGTTGTTCACTTTGGTTACACTAGCGCGATGTAGCCTGCCTTACACATCGAAATTGTTGTTGATCTCTGTGTTAAAAATGTTAAAAATTATCAGGCAGTCGCCATATCTTTCTTATTTTTTTGCAACGCTGGATCAGTTGTTTTCCTGCGTGCAATACATACACAGAAGCGCTTTTACTATACCAAGTTTAAAAATTTAAACCTAACGAGTTGTCTTTTATGAGAAAAAAAAAAAAAAAAAATGATTATTTCAGGATAATGAAACAAAATATCGGTGAAGTGACATTTGCTCTATTCTTATGAAAGGATATGAGTACCGTACAAGGTCTTTCGAGGCTATCTAAGTAAGCAGCTTGTTTTTTTTTTTTTCTTGTGTGAAAGGATGTTTTGCATCCTGATGTTTGACATATTGCCGACTTGTTCAGCTCAACTGTAGCATCGGTTAAAATTGTTTTTATTCCAAAGGAGGTCTAACCACTAGCAAGTTTTTCCTAGGAAGTCGAGCGTTACGATGCTAGAAAATCGATCGTAATCTGCACACATCTTTCCTTTGATGATCGGCACAATTCCATTAGTTTTCATTGGTATCGCCCCTCAATGATAATTTCATTGGATTGAAGCAGCCAATATATATATATATATATATATATATATATCACTATATAAAAATCGCAAAACTATTTATCTTTATTGTCCATTTTAGTAGTTCCACTAATCTGCAGTCTGTGTTGTCGGACTTTCCTAACGATTCGGCAGAGCAGCAAGAAACGCAAGGCTTTTTTTTTTTTCTTTTTGCAGACTTTAGTCACCTAAAGCTTCACTTCAGTTATTTAAAGCTTGCAAGAAAATCTACATTGTTTGCAACTTTTGCGGAATAACTTGCACTAGTGCACCGAGCTTAATAGTAGCACTTTCACTTGGATTCGCCACAATATAGGTAAATGTGCATATGCCATCTCTACGAGAAATCCGATAAGAAAATGTCTGCACACCTAACAGTTTTGCTATCCCAAACTGCTATCCAACAGTAGAATCTACTTTTTGTGTCATCTTGTGTAGAGATTTTCATTAATTACTTTCGCTGCATTTCACCCTATCAAGCGCAGGTTTCATATATTTTTGCAAATATTATTCATCTTTCATCAACAAGAGAAAGAAAAAAAAAAAAAGCAAATGTAAATTGAATTTTTGTTGTTGTTGTTTTTTTGCTCAAAAATAATACGAAAATTTCTGAAGCGTGACAATGCATTTGCTTTATGTAGTCGTGCATGTATGCGTAGCTTTTTGAAATGCAGAGAAAGGCTTTGCTTATAAAGTGCACATAATCGCAAGCACGAATTTCTATGCCTGCACTCCCATCAAGTCCCTTTCTAATAACAAATATATATATATATATATATATATATATATATATATATATATATATATATTGTGATCTGTTTGCTCTTTGCTTGACTGTATTAGCACTAGGACCGGCAACAGCAGTGGCAGAGTTCATTTCGTATACACTTTCACACACCATTATATATACATATATATACTCACTTTTAAAGTGCTTGGGACAGCAAACAAATTCAACGCCCGAAAACAATGATATGCCGCATGGTAATAGCATAGCAAAGCTACGCATTTGCATGCCACGCTCTTGGCAGGCAGCAGCGCCGGTCTGATTCCACCTAACAAATGGCCAGCAACGTGACGCATTATGTATGTGATCGAAGAGGCAACCTTCGGGTACTAATAAAGCATCCGATTGGAAGGGTCCTTCTGAAAAACAAAACAAATTCAAAAAAAAAAAAAAAAAAAAAAAAAAAAGAAGAAGAAAAAAAGATAGAAAACCGCAAAAGTTCAAATCAGATTTTTTGCTTTTCTTTTCAACTCTTTTTTTTTTTTTTTTTTGTAAAAACACACATCCCATCCAACATCCCGTCTAACTAAACTAAGGATAAGTAATGAGTGTTTTTTCTTTTTTTGTTTTTGTTTTTTCGGTTTGTTCAGTTTTACCATTACTTACCCAAACAGCGGAATGGTTTAATCCAGCGATGTGAACCTTTACATTTGGCTGCATTTAATGTACCCTGACGACACCAGCCGCCAATTTTCTGATAGTGTGATGATTCAACAATGTTGGTGATATCACGATTGGGATAGGCCTGCAACATGATAGCAACAAAAAACACAATAACAACGAAACAATCAATAACTGTATCCATCAATTTCTCTCAATGCAGATAACGGAGTAAATGAACAAAAAAAAAAAAAAAAAAACCAAAAAAAAAAAGAGAAAAAAAGAAAACGAAAATGAAAATGCTGGTAGGCGTTAAAAAAGAAAAACTTCGATATGCAGTTTATATAGTAGTTACGCACAACGCAAAAAGTCAGTAAGAAAGAATATTGTGGTAATTTGTTGGCTTAAGCCTTAAGGAAATGGAGCGTAGGTATCATTGTTGTTGCTGTTATTGTTTGCACATATATGTTTATATATTCATGATGAATATGATATATATATATATATATATATATATATATAAATATGTTTCTCTTTACAACACGATGAACAGACGGCTTTCTAGGAATAAATGAATGAATGAGTGACTGAATGAGTAAATGAATGTCTGTTTAAATAGAGATGATTTGCATGATGTGCAAACAGCATGAAGTGGAAAATTTCTGAGAGGATTAAACTTAAGTAAATTAATAAAGACAGAGTTCTTTAAGTTCTTTAGTGTGATATACAAAAAACTATTAAGCTCCTCATCCTTTCGATTCACATTAGTTTTTCAACTGTTTGAACATTTGAAATTTTCGCTCGATAAACCTTCTCAAATATCTTCGGCTATGTAATGATTGCAATCAAGTAATGTTCATGAACTTCATTCCGTTACTTGATAATTTTGCAATAAATTCCAATCCATATAAATGAATGTTTGAAAATAGACATAGACATAGCCATAGACAAGAAACTCTAGATTGCTTTCATGCGCTTCACGAAAATTGCATAGATATTGGATTGCAGGCATGGCAGACATTGCTGACATTACATTGTCTATTTTTTAGTTAGTTTAAGCCATTACTAGCTTTGGATAAATCGCACGATTATTAATTTTCATCTTTTCCCCGCCCAATGATAGTGTTGTTCTTTTGCAACAATCATCAAAGCATTTCGAAGTGCTGTCTGTCTCGTCACCATCCGATGGATATGAATTTGTTAAGCGAGCCGCTTGAGGGCCGCACTTCACGGAAATAAAAACAAAAATGACCTTGTATTGTGTTCATTAAGGCATTTCGAAGCGCTCTCCCGTCGATCCAAATACGTGATAATCGGAAAGACTTGA